CCTCCACCCTTTATCCGATTGAACATATGAGTTCATCGAGATGACATGAACACTAAATCTTTATCGGATGAACACGAAATCAAAACTCATACATTCTACCCATATGCATCATCCCGAATGGGGTGATGTTAAGTCTCCATTTAACACATTAACATCCCGGATGAGTGGATGTAAATAAATTATGCGATGGAAATCAATGAATGATGTCGACCGACGACAAGACCACGGTTTTGTGTCAAAAACTCCTCGCTGTTCCTATTCCTATGGTTCGCCGTTTCGGATGTTCGTGACTTTTCGACCGTTCCCCCTCTGCCTACTTCCGTACTGAGTCGCAAGACAGTTCTTGAGCTTGTTATATTTAACAAGGCGGGTCAAAGTTTTGCGTTATTTTCCACCTTATTTTTTCGTACGTAACACAGAACTAAAAATTATATGACAGGTACTAACAGAATTGCCTTATTGTACCAAACAAATCTAAGTGACCTATAGTTATTAGATTATTCTTATTAGACTTCGTAAAGTTATTTTTACAAGTTTGGTCTTTAATTTTATAATTTGTTGGTTTGTCTCATGTTACTGTAATTAGACAAATAATTGTTGCTGCTTACTTATGTTTAATTTCATGTATACGCGACCCTAAATTTTATCATGTGGTAGATATGTACACAATTTTAGTTTATATTGACAGGAAACGGAGTAACATATTTTCATATTTAGAATCGTAGAGTGATCCGTCACGTTGACGTTAGTCAATGTCAACGGGATTCAGACCATCGGTTCAGATTATTGTGGTAGACATGTGCAACGACACAGTTATGTCTATAAATAAAAAGATTAATAACAGAATGATCTTGTTATGTGGACCAATAGCAGTTCGTCACCTTTGAGGGGAGGTTCTTCGCGTGTTAACGAGTGAATGGTTATAAAGAAAAAATAATGTTATAATCGGATACAAATCGCGATGATAGTTATCTATACGTGCAAACAAATAAAATCGTTTGGTGCATCGATAAGGTTCATTTTAACTTATATTTACTATTAAATAAATAGAAAACTTTTTATCTCTAGCCGTGTAGTCAGGACACATGTCTAGGTAGATCCGGCTATCCTTCCAGTACGGATTTGTCGCTGTAAAATGTGCTATTTATGCTCAACATTTATAGTCCGTAAACGTTGCCTTCCGCTCTCACCGTCGATGGCATTTTGAAGAGAATTGAGACCGTAGAACACTCGTTGAGGGCAAGTCGTACGCGTTTACGGTGCCGTTCAACACAGTAGGACCCAAAAACCCATACGCACCAACACGCGCGCTCGCACCGGGACTATGGAACGGTGCCGTTCAACACCGTAGAGACACCGTATACGACGCGTCTCCACGTGTCTCATCACCGGAGACCACCCTCTACGGGTGTTTACAGATATACGTGTACGGTGCCGCGTAACAAAAGATCATACTGATTTATTAATTGTAAACATGGAACTTTTAGTTACGTAAGTATAGTAAACTGTGCAACCACCAAACATCCATCCGATGTCGCTGAGACCGCAGATACACACTATCATTTTCATCTTCATCCGGTTAGGGTTTAACAACCCATTTATGAGACAATGTTCATTTTCAAAGTACGTAATTTTAGTTAGATCTTTATGTCAACTTACTAATAATATATCTTGAGTATTATCATAAAAATAGCACGTTTATTTATTTTAACAAACCACGTTCTCCAAGTAAAATCTATAGAACATATAATGTTTAATCTTTTTGAAAAATAGAGATCGGACCATCAGTAACAGATCATCAATCTTGTGTACAGATCAGCCCGATAAAGTCATGCCAAAACAGCGACATTTTACGCGATAAATACGGGTTTAAATATCAGCATTTGCCACGGAAGGCGAGTGGCAGCTACCGTAAACCTTCTCTTAACTTGTGGCATATACTTGCCACAGATACCACATCTGTGGCATATACTTGCCACAGATACCACGGAGTAGCGGCCTCTGTGGCAGATGCCGGAAGTACTTGCCACTGCCTGCAGATGCCACGAAATGAGCCAGGCCCTACTGCCAGAATGAGTGTGGATAACCCCAAAACTGTTAGCTGTAAAATAGCATATGAATGTGTATACTGTATACTTGCTGTATAAACCCAATTGTTTGCTTGATTCTCAATAATGAATTCTCAACTATCTTCCAACATGTAGCACTATCAAGACTTCAGAATTAGAATGTGTCCAATACCTGCAAAACTAAAGACATTTCCATCAAACTCAGTTGTATCTGCTGTTTAGTGCCAATCAGCTAATGTCAGCATGCTTTCACATTATATGAAAATGGTGAACATGGTAAAAACATGAGCAAAACATCGTGGAAAACATTGGCATTTTAGCATTGCCATTGTGGGCATGTTAGCTGAAATCACAGCTGTGCTTAAAGGTGGGGTAGGTAAGTTTGAGAAACCGGCTCGAGATACACTTTTTGTTATATTCCATGGAATGCTCTTAACATCCCGATAGCAATGAATATCTCAAGTGCTTTGACAAAAAATCATCTGTGGAAGCCGTAGTACTGTAAAAAGCACGACCAATCATTTTTGCCGGCCCGGCTAAAATAACTGGATGGCCTACCTGCCTGTCAGCCTTCCATCTGTGCACAAATTTATCTCGTGCCCTCATTGGTCATGTGTGCGTTCGTGTGTGTTGTGTGTTGGAGGAGGGGCTCTGTAAGGAAGTGGCAGATTTTTTCCGGTTGTGTATTTTCAAATTCTAGTGCACTCGAGCTGGTTTCTCCAAAATGACCTACCCCACCTTTAAGTACAGCATCACATAGCTGTTGGCATGTAGACTCTGAAAAGTGGACCTGCAATAGAGAGTGATAATTTGTCTGTATGTATGAACGCATATTGTGTCATTTTAATTTTTCTCATCAAACTTTCACAAGGGTTCTACGTATGTGATGCCTATATGGTTAAGGAATGCACTGTCTTCTTTCTTCTTTATGGCATTAGA